TTCTTGTACAGTACTTTCTCGAAACTCCTTGCCAACGCATAGGTGATAGCTCCCACCACAAACCCTACGAACACACCAACATCTCCACTGCCCTGCCTCGCTACTGGTCCTACATACCAAGCCTGTGACATGAATGGAACAAGGGCTCCACACGCGCACGCGAAGGCCACTACCGCGGGGATACCGCTAGGCAAGAGAGTATATGAAGCCCAAGTTTTGATAGGATATTGGTCCTCAGGAAAACGAGGCTCGTCGGAATAGCATATGCTCTGTGAGTACGATCGCAGAGAATATTGATGACCAATATCCAACGATGTCTGAGATCAGCATGTTAGCGCTAACAATAGATACCGATATTTGAACTTGTACTAAGGATGTCGACACAGGTAGCATAAAACTTTTGGCACCAACAATGGCCAGTGGTATCAGGCTTGAAACCAAATCATGAGCATCTCCGAGGTTTGCATCCACTTGATGACACTCACATTCCTTCCGAGATGAGGACATATACCCATCTGGGCACTGTAGAAAACCGCGTAGCAATAGCCATGAAACTGTTGCTGAACGTATACATCGTTGGTGCACAGGCACTGGATACGAGAGCGACCAAAGCAATCAGGATTTTCCAAATGCACCTGTAGGTAACAAGATGCTGTGTAACAAACCACCGACGGAAGAGCTGTCATCGAATCCTGCATTCCAAGCAGGCACGCTCGGAGCTGCTGCTGCGAATGCGGCACCCAGAGCCTGACCAGTCACCTTTCAAAAGAAATTTGTTAAGATGCAACTGATATCGATATAAATGGCTTACATTAGATACGAAGAACCCAAGATATGTGTAGATGAAAATTCTCGTGCTATCGGAATGTCAAGGAGAGCCCTGGTGATGGCCCGGGAAAACTCACGAAGAAGCATCAGGGCTATGGTATACCCATAGTCAGGGATCATGGGACACCAGCCGATAATGTTAGATGCGAGAAAGGATGCAAAAGATATAATATTAGCAGGTGTTGCTGAAGGGACAGGAGCCGATAGTTTTCGCGTAGTTGTGGATAACCGACAGCCAATATGGCGATAAAAGCAATTACATTTGGGATCCATGCAACACTTTCGTACCTATGAATCACATTCCGTCAGAATTCTTGGATGATTGATGTGAGGTGGTCCCACCAATGGATAACGCGGGTATCCACAGAAGTGACCTTGAAACATGTCCAACTTGGTGCAGCAGGAGGAATTCCGACTATACCATAAGAGATATGATACCAATGATGGCGATCCCAAGAGTGTCATTAAGTTGAGAAGACAGCTAGCTATCGTTTTGTCCGCCAATAATGCAGTTCAGAATAAGAAAGCCTTCCAAGGAAAAAACATTCAAGACGGCCGTATGATGGCACCGAAATACCTTGATATCGGTCAGGGAATGATGCTGGCAATCGGAAAAATAACTCACCCCCATGAGAACCTTGCTTGTACCATAGCTCGCATGCCAAGCTTTGGCCCGAAAACAGCACTAGCGCATTATGAAGTCCCTGGAAATACGCAGAAAAGAATAGCAAAACCCACAAGAATCCTGGCAATAAACAGCATCTAGCTGAAGGTCAATCGCTGCAGATCGAGATTTCATGGACTGTTGACTTACACTAGGTTAACAATGACGATGATGACTATGGAGTCGCAAACTCCCAAGGAATAAAATGCAGGGCCAGCAGCGCCAGTGCTAGATCTGCAGGTATTAGGTGGATTAGGGAGTAGCGCCAAAATTAAGACAGCACTGAAAACGTACGACAAGATATTCATGCAGGAGGAAAACCAAATAAAAATAACTGGTACCACCGAGTGTCGAGACGTTCCTCTGCTGGCACTGGCATGATGCTAATCCGAGGATCAATAAAAATGCCAAGACAGGCGTCACAACATCTCCATCTCACTCACCCACGAGTTTCAATTCTACACCGAGAAAGTAACTTAGTGGTCCGTCTGAGGAATCGTATGCGATAGCGACTGTCCTCCGTACTATCATCCCTCGTATGCTCATCAGAGGACACACTGGGTCTGGCAGTTCAACGGACCTGTCCCGTTTCCGCTCGGCAGCGTAAGACTGCATTGAGTGAGCAGTAATTCACCTGTTTCAGTCTGGTCGATCGATGTGCAGCAGCGTCAGTGAGAGTAGCAGATGTAGTTTGGGTGCCTATTCCTATTACTAGCTGGCGAAAGTAAAGCAAATGGGATCCGAAACTTACCGTGACGAATAAGATTACATACTGGATATATCAAAAGAACATGATCTTTAATTGATCAATCAGTGGAGCTTCTCGATCTGTGTCGTTCCCAAGCTTCCAAAGCTTCAAGTTGGGAATGACGCGGCATGATTCAGAGAACATATCTCTGATAGTAGTTGGTAGCCCAAAGGAGGTATGAGTGCAGGGTCAGAATTATGTCTGTGTTTCGAGACTTTGTGTCTAACTCGAGAAAGAAGATGTAGAAGCACGACTGCGGAAGATGATGAGTGACGGCAGGAAAACGGATGGGGAATCATTTAACGGAGTTTTGAGCGAAAGCCCACAGGGCTTGGAATGCGGTCCGAAACAACAGCCCGAAACCCGAGTTAAAAGGTAAGCTGCGAAGGGCGGGTGAACCCGAGCAGGTTACCTATCGCGAGTGTTTATTAGGATACGAAGCTGGATGATGGCAGGTCGTGGTATTATATTTGTGTTTCTGAATGCATAAAGCTATGAGCTTCGTTCGACTACCCGAGAGAGGGGGCGGTGGGTGGGTGAGCAGAAAACACGAGAGTCGCGGGCTGGACGTTCGGTGGCCGATGTGGGCGAGAAGAAAGATTGCTGTGCCACATTGCTCACTCACACATAGGTCGGACTACATACCAGTGGTATGACATCCCTCTTCCAGGCTTCAGGGACCCGGGTGGCTGGTACCTAATAAACTTGCTGAGTTTGAGGCTGCGAGACTGCCCACCCGCCCTCGCAGCTCACCTCGGCTCTCTTGCACAGGTTGGGGCCGTTATCGGGGCTTCCACTCAAAAACTATCTAATAAACATTTTCTTTCCTCGCACTATCGTATAGGACCGCTGCACGACAGCAAACACAAACTTACTACCAGTGCATGCCACACGTGTTCGAGCTTACAGGTGCGCACGATTTGTCCATCGTAAACTGACATTCAATTTTTGAATTTCCGAGAACTACCTTGTCTCTTCGACGCCAAAGAGCAATTCGTGTACATGTTATTTGCTTTAGAAACGACTACCGTCATGCATCTGATTTACTCATCTTCTTGTACCACAAGTTTTCGAATCCCATTGCCAATGCGTATGTGATAGCCCCCACCACAAACCCTACGAATACCCCAACGTCTCCACTTCCATGTCTCGCAACTGGTCCTACATACCAAGCCTGTGACATGAATGGAACAAGGGCTCCGCAGGCGCACGCAAAGGCAACGACCGCAGGAATACCGCTAGGCAAAAGGGTATACGAAGCCCAAGTCGTGATGGGATATTGATCCTCAGAAAAAGAGGCCCGCCGAAATAACACATGTTCTGTAAGAATAATCGCGGCAAATACTGACGACCAGTACCCGATGATATCTGAGAAATCAGAATTTTAGCGATAGATACTGCGATATTCGGGACTCGTACTCAGGATGTCAACAAAAGTGGTATAAAACTTTTTGGCGCCGACAATGGCCACTGGTATCAGGCTTAAACACAAATAATAAGTACCACAGGAGTTCACGACGCTGAAGATACTTACATCCCTTCAGAGATAAGAATATACACCCATCTCGGCACTGCAGCAAACCACGGAGCAACAGCCATAAGACTGTTGCTGAATGTATACATGGTTGGTGCACAAGCGCTGGGTATGCTGAGAGCGACCAGAGCGGTCAGGATTTTTCCAAATGCGCCTGTAGGTAGCAGCACGCTGTATAACAAGCCACCGACGGAAGAGCTGTCATCGAATCCTGCATTCCAAGCAGGCACGTTAGGAGCTGCGGCCGCGAACGCAGCACCGAGGGTGTGGGCGGTCACCTTTTCAAACTGTTACGATGACGCTGGTGACAGTACATGGGGGCTTACACTAGCGGTGAAAAACGCGAGATACGTGTAAAGAAAAATTCTCGCACTACAAGGATGTTAAAGAGAGTTCGCGGATGGTTTAAGGGAGCTCACGAGGAAGCAGCAGGGCTGTGGTATACACCATAGTCAGGAGTCATAGTACACCAGCTGAGAACGCTAGATGCAAGGATAGACGCAAAAGAGATAACCTCAGCGACAGTCGCTTGAGAGACAGGAGCTGATTGGTTGTCGCGTAGTTGTGGATAGCCGACACCCAGCATGGTGATAAAAGCGATTACATTTGGGATCCAGGCGATACTTTCGTACCTAGAATCAAAATTATATCAGAATTATATGAATAGTACACAGTGGAGCGATCCTACCAATGGATGATACGGTATCCACAGAAAGTGACCTGTAAAGCTTGACATTTTGATGCAATACCAACAAATTTAACATACCACAAGAGTTATGATACCAATGATAACAATACCAAGAGTATCATTAAGACGAGAAGATAGGCTTGCGAGCGTTTGTCCACCAACGATACAGTTCAGTATAAGGAAGCCTTGCATGGAAAAGACATTCAAGACCGTCGGTATGATGGCACCAAAATACCTTGATGTGAATGACACTGGCAATCGAAAATCAAGTAGATGTGACCCACCCCCACGAGAACCTTGCCTGTACCATAGCTCGCGTGCCAAGCTTTGGTCCAAAGACAGCACTGGTCATTAATAAGTCCCGAGCAATGTCCAGGTAATAATAGTAAAGCTCACAAGAACGCGGGCAACAAGCAGATCCTAGTTATAATTCACAGTAAATCGATATTCGAATGAACTATTGGCACTTACGCCAGGTCAACAATGACAATGATGATTAAAGAGTCATGAACTCCCAGAGAAAAATATGCAGGCCCCGCAGTACCAGTGCTGAATCTGCAGGTGTCAAGTGACTCAGCAGATAGCAAGAGTCAAGAGAGGACTCAAAACGCACGTCAAGATATTCATGTTAGCCGAAAACCATACAAAGAACATTTGGTACCATCGAGTCTCGAGGCGTTCCTCTGCTGGTACCGGTGCGATGCTGATCCGAGTAGTAACAGGCGGAAATGCCTCAGACACTGCAGGTATCACAGCGACATCACCTCACTCACCCATGAGTTTCAATTCCATACCGAGAAAGTAGCTGGGTGGTACGTCTGAAAAATCCTGTATGATACCGACTGCCCTCCAGATCATTGCCCACAGGTTTATCAGAGGCCAGATCCGGTGTCACGGAACTGGAGTGCGACTCTCCCTGCTTTCGCTCCTCAGACTCGGACTGCATTGCGTGAGCAACGATTGACCTGGATTTTCCGCTTGGATGTCCGCGTCGTGAGAGCACCAGCTCAGAGCTGAACTTGTCTGTCGTTTTGAAATTATTTTGGAGCTCAGGGCATTCTTAAATAGGATTCGGTTACGAAACATCTAGCGGCCATGATGCGACCGCATCCGAACCCTAGTGGCTTAGTAGGCCAGAAATGTAGCACGCAAATTAGGATCGTGATAGCATAGTTAACTTTGCACAATGATGGAACTTATGTGGTGGCATGAACGATCCGGAGAATAGACGACGTGCTGACTAAGCTACCAATAATCGAGATCCAGTTGAATCAAAAGTAACCAACTTGAGCTGCTGAGGAGTAGCCACGTAGCAAGTTAGACGTGCGACTGCTACACGCGAATTCATGAGAATTCAGTACCGAGCATCTCGAAGACCGGAAGTAAGTGCCATACTATATATATCAGTGAGTCTCGGTGGCGGATGCGCACAATGCACTCGAACTGGACGCTAGTCGATTAGGAATCAAGCGAGTGTATCGGAGGGTGGCGGTGGCGGTTTCGACGGTTCATCACCATGTGACGTGAAGATGGACTACATCGTAACGCCGTTATGGAAGGCGTGCATACACTTATTCTGAATGAATGAAGCACTACATGATGATTGTGGTGAGTGTTCAAGCTCAGGATTGGAGATAAAGCTCCTGACCTTTCATCCTCAAGCTGTGCTGGGCGTACCTGAGTCTTTCAAGCTTGTTGCTTGCAATGACCGCCCTAGCTCGGG